TCGTTCACCGATCCGGGACCCGATCGTCGTGCGGATCACGTTTTTAGTTGATCACGGTTTATTCTGCCCGTGACACTGCCTATGACTTGAAACCCCAAACTATGCGGCGTTACACCACATACGAGTGGAATATTGGTGGAAGATTATTTTGTATGTGAATATTAGGACTCAGTCCCGGGGCCGAGTCAAATTAAAACTCGACTTCGTGGCTGTTTCCTTTTTAGGAGGTTTACCGGCACAACAAGTGCTGAAGTGAAATCATGGCATTGCCTTACTATGTTACCAATGCAGATCTGTCATGTGCAGGATGTTTGTTTACATTTTTATGAACATATATAAAAGGACCCTCTTACTTTTTTCAACAACGTTTTGTAACTTCATTATACTCTCATGTCAACAAAAAAATATTTTCATTATAAATTCCTACCTATTTTGAGAAATCGAATTTTAATGTCTCACACAGAAGGAAGAAGATCAACACAATCGAGCATTATCCCACGCGTTATATACCCACCAGATGTGAGCATTTTGAGAAATCCTTCTTTATCGAATTTTAATGCCTCATGCAAAAGGAAGAAGATCAACTCACTCCAACAAGCGTTATCCTATGTTCCTCCACCCGCCATATATCAACTGGATGCAAGTATTTCCATGTTTGGCCGCCCACAAGAGTAAAGCGTTGGAGTGAGTTTTTTGATAATGTAGCTAATTTCGCTTTCGACGAGGAGCCCAATAAACACGAGAAGCCCAAGTTTACGAAAGGGCTAAAGATCCGAATCGAACCTGATGTTGACACAATCACAAGTGTCAACATATATCATACGTTAAACGTGCTGATGGGACCACGATACGAATTCTCGAAGCTAAAGAATTCAGACTTCAACGAGGATCTCAAAGGGATACCTGACTACACTTGCCGCATATTTGGGATGATGAGAAGAAAATAATCTTCCCTATTGAAATTAAAAGACATCTTGTGGTAGATAATTTAGTCGAGGATAAAGATTTATCATTGGAAAGTACCCATGTTAGAGATGCAGTGAAGCTATATGATTTCACTGCATCTTCAATATGGTGTACTTTCCAGCTACGATTATCATTGGTTCCTCCGCCGTCCAAAAGATAACCCCACGGAGTTACATATTTCAGAAGCACTTCCACTAGAATCCACATCGCCGACAGTGCTTCAATAATACGCTTACATAACCTATCTCGCGGATGAGGATCCTATGGCACCTCATCCTAATATAATTCCAGATCAAACTAGGGGTGCTTGTAGTTCGTAAATTTGAGTATTAATAGGTTATATATATTTTTTCGGGTTTAATTTTCTTGGTTTAATTTTATTGGTTGGGTTTGAATTTTTGGTTTTAATTTTGTTGGTTTGTTTTTAATTTTTGGGGTTTAATTTTTAATTTTCTTGTTTTTAATTTTCTTTTTTAATTTTATTTTCATTTTTAATTTTTTTTTTTTTTGTTTTCGGATTTTTTTAATTTGCTTGATTTATTTTTTAACTATGTATATGTTGCTATGTAGCCATCTATAATAGTTACTTTGAAGAATTTAAAGTATACTTGCTTTTTTCAAATATCTAAAATTGCTGTACTAGATCAAAATTATTTCAAAATTTAGACAATAAAATTGTGAATTTAAATATTCAAAGTAACAGCTTCAAATATTTAAGAGCAATTTTAAATTTTAATATAACTTAAAGGCAATTTTAAATATTTAAAGTACAATAATAATCGAGTTTACTAACGCTCAATAATGATGTTCGATACCACAGTTACTATCTCAAAATTAAGTAAATTATGGTAGGGTGTTCTAAGTAAAAATATTCATAATCCCTTTAAATCAAACCTTTATCTTAATCTATAATTCCTATAACTCTAAATTTTCATAGCAAAATTATATGTAACGTTAAACACTACTAGTGGTTTTATTCTTGTAATTGTGCGGAGGAAATTTAATGTTTAATCATGGTGATAAAGATTTTACGTTTTTGATGCATCAATTGGCATATATTTATTATTATCTGTAATATACAAAACTAACATAACTTTAAATAAAATAGTCGAATCTTTTACTGTAAATAAAATCTAATATCAAACCTTACCCTAAATAGATAATCGAATTTTTTCAATACCGGACTAATATAACCCTCTCCAAATCACTTATGACGCAGTAATTGAAATATTTACAATTACAACGCAATTCACGAATAATCCAATACGAAACTAACACTAACTCACCCTCTCTAAATCACTTACGCCGCCACAAAAGTTGGAAGAATTTTTTACAATCAATAACGATAAGCACAATACATAACTTAAAACTATCAAAATCAGATAACCAATAGCTGGTAACCAATTTTTTTTAAATACAATTTGCGATAACCCAATTCGAAACTAATTTACCCATTCTAAATCGCTTATGTCACTACAAAAGTTAGTATAATCAATCACGATAAATCTAATACATAACTAACATAACCATCTAAATCAGCCCAAAAATAGTGCTGATAAAATGTTATATCGGCATCACTAGTTCAGATATAAATAACAAAAAATGAGAAATATATCTTAAAATCTAGAGATGTGATCCGTGTGATGTGTGGGACTTTTAATATTATCCAGATAAAATTATCCGGCCGGCATTACCATATCATCTGGCTAGCATTAATATAATATCTGGCCTGCATTAACATAATTATCGTAAATTCTCGAAATACTGGACATGGGAATTTAGCGAATTAAGCTTAATTCGGACCGAATTCGAAATAATGCCCATGGCAAATCGCAGTTTCTTCAAAAATTCCGTGCAGGATAGGATCACAAATCTGCGGGTTTCTTAATATTTTGTGTCTGATAAAAACCATGCAAAAATTATCATTGAAAATCAAAATTTCTTGTTCTTCCAGAAATTTGAATAGAGGCATGGGCATTATTTCGAATTAGGCTTAATTCGGGCTAAAATTCGAAATAATGCCCATGCCCACTATTTCGAGAATTTACGATAAATATGTTAATGCAGGCCGGATATTATATTAATACCAGCCAGATGATGTGGTAATGCCGGCCGGATAATTTTATCTTGGATCATATCAAAAATCCCGCGCATCACGCGTGTGCCCATCTCTACCCATGCCTCTATTTCAAATTTTCGGAAGAACAAGAAATTTGATTTTCAATAATAATTTTGCATGGTTTTTTTTCGGAAACAAAAATTTAAGAAACCCGCAGATTTGTGACCCTATCCCGCGCGGGATTTTTGAAAAAATCGCGATTTGCTTATCACTATTTAAATCTAGATAAACGACTAATAAAAAGGCTAAAAACAGCATTTCAATATTGACCTGTATTTTGTATTTAAACACATAAAAATTGCAATTGCAAATTTAAAATCTTTTAATAAATAGGGCGGGTGAAGATTTCCTTACCAATAGTAAGGAAATTTACTGAAGATCTTTGCACAAAGATAATACAAGCTATAGAAAAATTACGCTTCCAGAGTCGCATGCGTCGGAGCAACATCAATAAATAACAATTAACAACCAATACTACCTAAACAACACACAAACCTTACACGTTATTGATCGAGGATTGGATAGACTTCATCTGAGTAATTAATGTTATAGTGATTAGAACTTTCGATTACATCATGAGTCTAATTCGAAGATCACAGAATTGGTTCACATTTTACTTATCAGGAAAGTACATAAGACTTAATATAGTGTTTGAATTTACTGTATTAATGTTGTTAGTTTGCACTTTTTGATTGTTTGATCGATGATTTATTCGAAGCGAATGTGTCTTATTTTTTATACTTATTTTTGGATAACAGAAAATAACACAAATATCGAATACTGTATACTGTAAATATAGATTTGAACTATAATATTGTAATAAATGGCTATTGTAAGAAATAGCTGATGTTGAAACTTTGGGTTTCTATTTGAAAATATAAACTTTGCTAAAGCTCACTTATGCACTTCTTGTATTCTAACCTTAAATCCTAATCTAACTATAAAACGAAAAAAAACACGTCCTAGAATTTTAAACTTTTCATATAAAATTGGATCAAGTTCCATGTTAATCACGTAAGTAATTAGTTTGAGCCAATTTCAAAATCAAGATTTATTTCGAAAATAATTGAGAGCATAAAAAGTCTCATGAAATTCCAAATCAGAAAAAATGATACCGTATAAGCACGTAATAATATTTGACTCAAAATAACGCCCATGCGCGTCTCAAAATAACGCGCCCATATGTACCAGATTATTTTTCAAGTGCTATTTTGAATCTTCGAATAAATTTGAATATAATAAGCTTAGGTTCAACCTCTAAATCTGAAACCTATTCATCATATTATTAAACAATATATCCGCCTTAAATTGGTTTTATCTCTAAAAAACTAAGTTATATTATGATGTTTCAAAAAAGTTCTTAGTTGCTGAAATTTTTTCTCAAAATTAGCATAATGATTCAAATGATCGCGCATGCGCGTCCCGAAATAACGCGCCCCTGCGCGTTATTACGCGTTTATACGGTATATATAAAAAATTGAATGAATGTTCATAGAAGACGTTACAATAAGTTAAAGGAGTAAATAAGTGGAAATTCTAGAGCTATCAAAAAAAAAAAGTGATAACTAGAAAAATGATTACTAAAAAAAAAATTGTGATAACTAAAAAAGTTATAATAGAAGCTTTATTTACTCTGTATATAAACTACCCATCAGTATGTGGAGTCTTCAAAAGACAACTATAATTGCCACTAGGAGCAAGATTCCCAATAAGATTTTTACCACAAGTAGAAGTCAAACAGGTAAGCATATCAGAAGGTGATATATATTTTCATAATCGCATAGATATAAAACAAAAACGCTAGCTGCATGTGGAGAAGCCATACTAGTTTCTGATAGAGTTGCAGTAGTGGGAAATAATATAATTTTAGTGAAAAAATTTTAATGAGGATTTAAAATTACGGGCCTGGAGCATACATTGGAATGCAAGGACCAATATTAGAATAACTTGAAAGTGCATCATTGTCGGTGTTTTGAACAGCTCCCACAGCAATAGCTGGAAGGGCTAAAGAAGGTGAAGAATTGCATGCATCGTCTTTACTATTTCCTGCAGCCATGACTACATGAATTCCAGAACCAGTAATAGTTCGCACTGCCAGATTTTAGTGCATCAGATTTACCGCCTCCAAGTGATATGCTAAAAAAAAAAAAAAATTAGAAATTTTAACCGCTTAAAAAGTATATATTTAACCCTAAGATACTTACTTCACAATTGATGATTTCTTTCTTTTTTGATAATCTTCGTATACAAATTGAAGAACTGTAATTATATCTGAATCAATGCCGGTTCAATTCTTATTTAACGCCTTGACTGCAATGAGAGTAGATTTTTGGCAACATCATATGTATGTGATCCAGCCTATTATTCAATTTATATGTAATAAATTATTGTTAAATAGTTAAAAATTGGAAAATAAGAAATAAAATAATAATAACAATTATAATAATGTTAAAATACATACAACTCCTGCAATATGTGTTCCATGACTTTTTAAAAGTAGGAAGGGAATTAAAGGATGAATATTTATAAAAAAAAAAGAAAAAAATATGCAAAAATTTATTTACTCATGATCATCATAAGAGCATGGTGGGCAGCCACTACGTACAGATTTTCCATATTTTTCTCTACCTTCAAATTCTGGGTGTATAATGTCAATATCACTAAATATTTTGATTCCAATTAATATATTTATTATCTGAGGAAAAAAGAGTTAATTATATAAAAATGAAAATACTCACGTGTAAACTATATAAATTACTATATCATCACCTCACAATCTGGATAACTATATTTATTATCCAAGGGACGGCTTTCTTGATCAATTCTATCAACATAAAATAATCTTACCCAAGCAGGACTATCTTGAGCAAGGTTTGCATTGGACAATGTCCAAATAAATTTAATTGGAGAATTGGACTTAGTCCAAATGTCCAAATAATTTTTTGAACCTTCAGGCATTGGACTTATGTCCAATTGTCCAATAATTTTATTAGACAATTTTAATAATATGACAGCAAAAGCTTTAACACCAATAATGATGTTTATCAATTTATTTTTATTTCATATATTCTTTAATTTTCAATGATAATTTATTAATAAATGCTTCTATTTCAGAGTGTTGATCTTAGCTAATTTATTTTATTTGGTGTGTTTTCTTTTATTATATGCCTTTATTTTAAAAATAAAATTAACCTGTTGTCATTATTATTTTTGAAATACAGATCATTTTACATTTTTAACATTCTGTTCGATGAATCATATTTCACTAAAGATATTTTTTTAAACCTATCTAGTGTGAGTAAGTAAAATGGAATTAAGTTGATCCGGTAGTGTGAATAGTACGTATGTATGCATGCATGTTTTATAAATAATAATAATAATAATAACTTATAATAATAATAATTATTATTATTAGTATACTTTTTTTAGATTAGAAGTATTTTGTATTAGTGAATATTGACCTGAATTAAGTTTAATTTAGGCCAAAATTAAAATCAATTTTTTTTTATGTCCAATAAAAAATCTACTATGTCCAATCAAAATATTTGAACAAATTGGATATTGTCTAAATGTCCAAAATGTCCAAATTTCCAATATCATAACATGCCATCCCTGATCCTGAGTAACTCTTCGCTGCAAATTAAAAGTGGTTGGGCTAATAGCATTCACGACTACAGCTGGATTAACTTGATAAACAGCATCCCAGTCTGATAATTCATTGACAAAATCTGAACTATAATATCTACTAAATGCATAAAAACCACTAGGAATACTAAGATTTCTAAATATTTGTTATTTGTACCTTTTGTCATATATTAACCATAGCTGCTGTCACGGCAGATTCTCGATTTTGATTGGCTAAGAGCGACGATCAAAAAATTAGGCCGGAATTTTACTAATAAAATACTGCCGCCTATTAAGTGAAAATTGTTCTTGGGCCAATTTTACTATTATGCAGGCTTATTTTTTAAAAATTTATATTTTTGTAAAGAAAAAATCAAAAAGCTAATTCCGGCCGGAAATTGATAAACAATTATGTAATGCGGCCAAAATTTTGAAGATCCTCGGCAGTTAGCAAATCAAAATCGAGGATCTGCCGTGATGCGGCAGCTATGGCAACAGATACGTATTCCGATAATATTGTATATTGAATGTGCTTCGTCCTAAGAATTTGTTTGGAAAACTACGATATATCTGAAGCAGTATTTGCATTGCTTAGACAACTGAATTCAGTTCCAGCATTTGCAGGTGTTATAAATAAAAGTATTATATTGATGAGTATAATGTATATGAATGAGATGAAATTTACAGATATAAATGATATAAACATCATGCCTGATTATCTATTCATATAAATAAATGAGTGAATATAAATGAATAAAAGGAATAACTTAGTTAAGTTCTTTTTTTTTTGAAAAAAAGGCCATCCTATATATTCGATATTTCCTGTATTTTGTGCGCTTCTTTAGCAATTTCTAATTAATAACTATCGAATATTGATTAGCTTGCATCGAATATTTTATAGTTTACACAAAAAAAATTAATTGATCGACCATATAATCCAGTTCTACCGTATGTTATTTGTTGCATAAAGAATTTGCTAAAGGTGGCCCCTCAAGTGCATAAGAACGTTAAAATTTCTGGTTGGTTGATTTTAAGTCGCCTTTTAGGGTGTTTTCAAGCGTCTCCTTCGATGAGTTTACTGAACATGCTCTGCTAAAAAAATTATTCGTGAATTTTACTTGTCAAAAAAAAAAAACCAGGGTTTGGAATTTCCAATTTTGATGTAAAAAAACTCCTACGTATGAGTAAAATTCCATTCTGCTCATTTTTGCGGTACAGGTCGGAAGATAGTTGCTGTAGTAAATTTTGTTCTAATTACGATGACTTGATCTTACGCCGTTGTTATCATTACACAAATATACAAAATTTTTATTTGTTCCTGACCTGTGCGGAAGGTCTTATTTTGCTGGAATACGAAATTTAAAATCTGCGTATCACATTAGTTTCGACATCTCGATCAGATTTCTGAAATAAAGCAATTTGAACTTTAAATCCGTACATTCGAATTTTAAAAACTGATCTCGGTAACAAACAACATTGAATGAGCTGATTTAGAACACCTTTAAGGTCAGACCAATTTAATTCTCTGTTTTACATTACTCCCCTTTTTACCTTCTGGAGGAGGGGGTGGGTGGTTTGAACGTATTATATATAAAAAATTTTTTTTGCCTTGTCTTCTAAACCAAAATTTCTTTTTCGGGATTCAACGGACCTCAAATTAGTCTGACCTAATCGAGCTTTTTTAGGTCGACTCAGGTTTACTCTAATAACAATTACATTAAATAGTATTATAAGCAACTTCAATATTTGCTCGTGATCAAGACATTGCGCAATTATTTTTCGAAAATTCATTGTACTGTACGTAATAAGGATTATAAGTATATTAGGCTATTTTATCATCTGCAGTGAACATTGAAGATAATTTTTAGTTATGTGAAGAACAATTTCAGTTTCAAAATAACTTCGATAGAAGAATTGAATTAAATTCTATTGGGCAGATTATTTTTGATCGGCGAATAAAGTCAATCAAATATTTATACATTGTTGAATTTACGTACAATAATTTATTTAACTTTTTAATAATAATAATAAAACACCAAAATAACGCATATTTATGTCGTGCAGTGATAGGTTGTTTATTCTAATTTTATTAGATAAATAAGATCATGTGCCAAACGTGATCTAAGCGCGCAAAATAACTACATGACATTTGTAAAGATTGCATGATCCTTTAAATAATTTTATTAGAGTAATCCGATCTATAGTAGGTGGCAGAATTCAAAAAGGAAATTTCAACAATGAAAATGATCAGCAATCGTTGCTGAAATTTTCTTTTATGAATTCTACCACCAACTATAAATCCGATCACGATCTATAATAAGACCGATTTATTACAGCACAGATGAAAATTTTTTCAATGACCAAATCGAGCCTGAATCAATAAGTTACATATCTACGTTGCCAACATCAAAAACTTATCGATTCGATTATCATCAAATTCTCTAACATCATGTCATAGTAAATTTGAATTTATTCATTCAAGCTGACATGCAGTCAACAGATCGAAAAGATGGCTAAGAAGGGAAGCAAAATATTACCAAGTACCAGGGCACAAATCCTATTGTAAAATTTCGGAAATTTCCGTTTACACGTGACAATTTCCGCCCCGATTTTTCAACAGACGGAAAATCTCCGT